TCCCTAGAACAAGGAAACAGAAGTTCTCACTGATATTAAAACACTTGTTATGACCTGTAAGATATGTACAAAATAATTTCTTCGATTTAAAAACAAAACAAAAAAGAACACACTATATCAAACTTGTACAGAATACTTGTTCATGTCATATACTACCAGCTTGAAACCTGTCCAAACAAAGTCAAGCTGATGCAACATAACAAGAAGCCCACCCAACTGTAGATCAATATCAGTTCAGTTACATGTACAAATTGTACACGTACAATGAATCACAACGATAATGAAACAGGTATACCAGTTTCATAAATACCACAGAAGAAGGATGAATTCCTAACACAGGAAAACACGACACCTTTATAAACACAAGATACAATAACAGTTGGGTACATTATATTAAAATGGCTTATCAGTCTCAATACATCATTAAAGTCCATTTTCCAATGTCTGTGTGATGATCATGCAACTTGACAACAATCCTGCAGCATAGTTTCCATTGCAAAATGTTGTCATGTCCACAGCACACCACTACTCCCTGCAGGCTTACTATAATTCATCAAGTGTACCAGAACAATGGCCTTCCAATATCTCTTTCAACAGACAAAATGTATAGAAATGTATAGGTGACTTGATCAATATCACTTTGTATAGAATCCCATGAATATCCATTTCATTCTTTAGATGGTTGAGGTATGGAACAGTTGTTGTGCAGACCTGTCATTGAATCAATTTGTGTGCATATGACTTGTGTCATTTTTCGAGATGAAGCTCCTTCTTCATTAAGGTACCAGGGGTGAATTGATCAAGTTTACCACTGGCCTTTGTGTTTATGTATTCTCACCTGTTTCAAGACACTGTACTTTGCTTATCTTGGTTGGGATAGGACTTGTTGCAGGTCTCTGTCTGGTTACCCAAGTTGATCCTTATTCCATTTTTTTTTCAATGCTTATTAAGTACAATGGATATCCTCATTACAAAAATTCAAAACCCCAAATTTGAACTCAATGTTACGATTTCAGTGTATGAATATTTCTGAACTCGTTACGATTTCAGTGTACGAATATTTTGAACTCGTCGTTACGATTTCAGTGTATGAATATTTCTGAACTCGTTACGATTTCAGTGTACGAATATTTCTGAACTCGTTACGATTTCAGTGTACGAATATTTTGAACTCGTCGTTACGATTTCAGTGTACGAATATTTTGAACTCGTCGTTACAATTTCAGTGTACGAATATTTTGAACTCGTTACAATTTCAGTGTACGAATATTTTGAACTCGTCATAACGATTTCAGTGTACGATTATTTTGAACTCATCGTTACGATTTCAGTGTACGAATATTTTGAACTCATTGTTACGATTTCAGTGTACGATTATTTTGAACTCATTGTTATGATTTCAGTGTATGAATATTTTGCATCAGAAAGTGCTGTAGCATATCCTTCTCAAAAATTAACAAATTTTGTTTGGTCACATCACACTTCTTATGAAGGTTAAACTGTAGTTCCGGTTATCAGTACACTTGCTAATTTACCTATTAAAAATAGCTTTAACATATTGTATTCAACCCTGTGTACCACGACTATTGCACAAGAAAGATAACATGACTTATTTGTAGGTGTTGCTAAGGTCATCATCACTATGGTCATATGTAGATTAGTATGCTAATAGTTTACCAGATGTTTTGTCAATAGCCAATAACTGTCCTGTGCTGAATTGTATTCTCATCATCTGATATCAAATAAAATAAAAACAACTCAATACTGATAAACCAGATATGTGAAATCGTAGTTTTAGATTGGATATTGTTTGAAATTTTAAAGTTTTATGAGCTGCAAGGTATAATCAATGAGAAAGTTTTAAAGTACTGTATTATTGAATACATTTTATGATCATATAAGGTGTTAAAGTACTGTATTATTGAGTACATTTTATGATCATGTCAGGTTTTTAAAGTACTGTATTATTGAGCACATTTTATGACCATGTCAGGTTTTTAAAGTACTGTATTATTGAGCATATTTTATGAACATGTAAGGTGTTAAAGTACTGTATTATTGAGTACATTTTATGATCATGTAAGGTGTTAAGGTACTGTATTATTGAGTACATTTTATGATCGTGTAAGGTGTTAAAGTACTGTATTATTGAGCACATTTTATGATCGTGTAAGGTGTTAAAGTACTGTATTATTGAGCACATTTTATGATCATGTAATGTGTTAAAGTACTGTATTATTGAGTACATTTTATGATCATGTAGGTGTTAAAGTACTGTATTATTGAGTACATTTTATGATCACGTAAGGTGTTAAAGTACTGTATTATTGAGTACATTTTATGATCACGTAAGGTGTTAAGGTACTGTATTATTGAGTACATTTTATGATCACGTAAGGTGTTAAGGTACTGTATTATTGAGTACATTTTATGATCATGTAAGGTGTTAAAGTACTGTATTATTGAGTACATTTTATGATCATGTAAGGTTTTAAGGTACTGTATTATTGAGTACATTTTATGATCATGTAAGGTTTTAAAGTACTGTATTATTGAGCACATTTTATGATCATGTAAGGTGTTAAAGTACTGTATTATTGAGTACATTTTATGATCATGTCAGGTGTTAAGGTACTATATTATTGAGTACATTTTATGATCATGTCAGGTTTTTAAAGTACTGTATCAATGAGCACATTTTATGATCATGTAAGGTGTTAAAGTACTGTATTATTGAGCACATTTTATGATCACGTAAGGTGTTAAAGTACTGTATTATTGAGTACATTTTATGATCATGTAAGGTGTTAAAGTACTGTATTATTGAGTACATTTTATGATCATGTAAGGTGTTAAAGTA